AGGGGTCGAAAGCCCCTCGGCGGATGCCGCGTCGACAGTGACACAGTGCGGGTCAGGGGCCAGGGACGGCCGGACGGGGCGGGCGGGTGGTTAGACGCCCTGCCCCCCCCCTGCCTGCGCCCTACCTCCCCCTCTTCCTCCCTCTCACTCACACACATACAGACCCCTGGCCGCCCTTGCCCACGCTTCTCGTGAAGGGCTGCGGCCAGCCATAGAGGCTCGTTAGGTCGCCGCGCGATGCACTACAGGAAGGGCTCTCGTCATAATGAGGACCAAAGGACGCCGCCCGCCCGCAAGGTGTGGTATAATGGCCGCACGCAGCGCCTAAGTAGTATTCCGGCTCGCATTACCGGACGCTTTACCAGAAGAAGAAGAAAGCCCGCGAGCCGCGCTGCCGCCGCCGTGTGTATGATGGCGTGACGCCTCCCCCGGCCTCCCCCAGGAGGACCGTACAGACCCGCATTATTAATCAGTGATGTAAACGCCCTGCGGCCTTCCCTCCGGGGCCGTCCGGGGCCCTCGGTAGCGTGCGCTTGCTTGACACCTTCGACCCGCCGAGGCTTATTATTTTTATTATTACCTGTAGCACCTCGCCTTGCTCTGCCGCCGCAGCCGCTCAGCCGCTCTGCTTTCCCGACAGATTCGTCATCTCCTTCCCCCACGCTTTAGCTTTTTGATTTGGCCCCCGGTACTGTCCACGGGATCCTCGCTCACCGCTGGCCGTGGCCCCTGCGGGAGTCCTTGTCGAGATCCTGCGGGGGGGCCCTTCATGAGGATGCTCCAGCAGTGCCACCTCCCCCCCTCTTCCAACGACACTCTCGCCCCCACGCTGCTGTGGCTGCACTACGAAAGCCCCGTCTCCGCGGGGTGCGCTGTCGTCGGCGAGGAGTGGGATGAAGTTGGTAGCGGCTCGGACCAATCGTAACCGGGACACAACACGGGTGTAATGTAATAAACGTGTCTGGAAATGTGTACGGTGTGCGTGTGCGTGAGAGAGACAGAGAGGAGCATGGAAAATTGACGGGCGAGTGACAGTGAGAGGGTAACATGACGCCCGTCCCGTACACTGCTGCTCGAAAAAAGAAGCGAGAAACGTAAAAAAGAGCTTGTGAGCTGGGACTAATGATCCATAAGCACTCTATGAAGTCATTATAGAAATGGGTGCGCCCCCCCTCCCTCCTCCTCCAAAAAAAGAGAAAAGTCTCACCCGGGTGTGAGAACAGAGTAACAGTTGTTGCGTTACACTCGGTCATACGCGGCCAGTACTAACTAACCAGTCGTCCCTCCCTTGAGCGCCAAATTCGAATAAAACGCGGCAGCGAGGAGTATGCGCACCCGGAGTAAGGCCCGTAAGGCCGGCAGCTGGCGGGGGGTATCGCCGGGGCGCAGGGGCGCGCTCAAACGCCGTCGTTTCTTTCCTTTCCGCGACCCGCGCGCCGCCGCTGCCGTGCGCACCTTGCATTCCGCAGCGCAATCATGTGTATGTGAGTTTCCGAAAAATAAGACGGCATCGTTTGCTCTTCTTGGCTTTTGGGTTCTCGCTCCTCGGCTCCGCGAGAGGACGACGATGTTATTTCTTCTTGCTCGCCGCCCACCCCCTGCATCGGGACGGTGAAAGTGCCACCGCCGCCGCGCGTATCTCGGACGGGCATCGCATGCTGCGGGCGGGCGGGCGAGGGGCAGCAGGGCGATCCTAGTGTGCCTCGGGGACGAGCGAGACGCGCGCGCGCGCCCTGTTCGAGTCACGTGACGACTCGGCTGGGGATTTGCGGGCGGAATGGCTCAATCCAGGTCAACCGCGGGGGACGGGACAGCGGACAGCAGCCGCGCGCTCCGTACGCAACCACCACCTCAACCACCGTCACCACCACCAACCACCACCACCTTCGACAACCACAACCCGCCGCCGCCGTGCCTCCCGATAGATGCCCGGCGGATAAAGCCTAAGTATGTAGCGGAGCGGCCGGCTGATGTGTGTAAGACATCGGCAGCCGGTGTGCCGGGCCCGGCCGGGGCAGTGCCGGCCAGTCATCACTTAGGATGACGGCGCGGCGGGGCGTGGCGCCTGAGCGTGGAAATTATGCAAATCAGTGATTGAAAACAAACTAGTTCTGATTAAGGGCGTTGCGTGCCCGGCGGTGCGCGCGGCCGCGGCCCCGGGTACTTACCGCTACTGGCAAGAACACGACACGCGGGTTCAAAACCTTGGCTCCACATTCGATCTTTTTATTATTTTTTTCTCTCCACGTCTTGTCTTATTGGAGAGCACGTAGAGGTGAAATGGCACGGTGGGAGAGAGGGGGGCGGCGGGAGGGAGGGCTCGCTATCGACGGAGAGGTATAGGGTGCTGGCGGGCGCGGGGGCGCCTGCATCAGATAGACAAAGCGCTACGACGCGTCACCGAGTGGAGACCATGTTCGGAGATTGCCGATGCTAATCCTCGCTGCATGAGCGGCGGAGAGCGGAGAGCCCCCCTCGAGTGCCACGTCCGGGAGCAAATTCTGGTCCGCCACCACCGCCGCCGCGCCCCGCGGGCCCCGCGCCGCTTCCCGTGGACATGCAGCAGGCCCTGTAGGACGAGGGTCGGCGCGGCGCCCCCAAGCCCAGGGCGAGCAACATTATAAAGCGAGCGAGACACCTCGACGATAGTTTACGACATTAGGTCGAAATCAATTATTCAAATGAACCGCGCGAATCGGCGTTACAAATAATCGACGCGGCATAAAGATCGCGCTCGCTCGGCGGCGCGTGGCGCGT